GCATTGAGAGAACAGTTTGTCTTGCGAACCAGTATGAGTCCAAGAGCTGTAGCTACTTTCTAGCTTTGTTAATTAAGAAGGGTATGAGAACAATAAACGTCAATCTGAAATTAATTATCGAGTGGTGTTAATCCCTTGTTAACAAGGCATAAGCTGGTGTCGCAGTTGGAAGCAGTTTTAGATCCTTCATGACGATACAATGTTGTAGGGGGGCTAATGCTAAAATTCGTGTTGGAGGTGCAATCGTCAATTAATGGGTTGTGGGTACTGGGAATTTGATCGGGCCTGGACTGAGCAGAGACGTGCCTACGGTCCTGGGTTCGAGGAAGATCAGACCTGGGAGACTATCTTCATTTCACCACCAGATTGTGGGGAATATGAAATTGGGATTCGTTCCTTTTATTCGATTTGGTTCTGTTTATTAATCTTTTGTGATATTCTATTTTGTTGGTTATCACTTTTGCTTTGTTGCTATTTAAATTTTCATTTATATTGTTGAACTAGAGCCGCCTATACGTGTTTAATAAACACCGAATTTTCGCAAGAGTATAGACTAAAGTTGGGCCGACTGTGCATGCACAGTCGGAAATCATCAAGTACATATATACGTAATTTTGTAAACAAGCTAGTGCGGAAAGAAAAGTATTTCAAAGTATCCTAATAAAAAGATACTCCCAAAGGTTTTCATCCAAACAAATAATACATACAAACTTGAAAAGAAAATGTTCGATAATCTATTTTTTCTTTTTTTTTTTTCCAATAACATAATTAACATTCAACAAATTTTTCTTTTTCATTCCAATAGCATAATTAACATTCAACAAAGGACTCCTCTCCGAACATCCCCCAGGAGAGGAGCAAAAAAAAGGGGATACAATCGTTCCAAAAGAAAGGTTCGGTCAACGACATAGCCCTACTAGCTAAATAATGGGCAACAAAATTTAAATTTCTACCACTATAACAAGACCCACAGTCTAAAAACAATACTATTACTCATTTTTTTTTCCCACCATGCATCTTATCTGCAATCAATTCGGATGCTCTCTTGGCATAAAGGAGAGCAGAGTGCTTCTCCATCTCTCCAAGGTCAGAAATTTGAACAATGCTGAGCACATTTTGCTGAGTCCTATTTTCAGCTGCAACATGTACAAGATATGCCAGTACCGTGGCAAAAAACTTACACTTCTTTGTTTGTAAGTTGCTGAGGAAGTTCTTCTCGAAAATTCTAGCATACCTCCACATCTGTGCAGCATATTCCTCGTCCTCCTTGCGCATCAGCTTGTTGAATATAGCTGCCATGGATTCCAGCTGTGGCTCTATTCGCGGAGAGTGAAGGACATCTATCAAATCATCATATGGAATTCTGTATAAATCAATGCACTGGGAGAAGAGTGAGAAGGCATGCAATCCAGTATAGCTGATATGACTATCATACAAAAAATCTTTTATATTCTTCCCACGAGGATTCGTAGCTCCTGCGTACAATACAGCATACATGGTGTTGCGCAACAACTCGCTATGATGATCCAAATGGTTCTTCATTGCTTCTATTCTCGCCCGATCAGGATGGTACCCGTTAAATGGAAATGGAAAGCCATAAAAGTTTGGGAATCGGGACCTCAACTGCTCCGCAATTGTCGCGAAATTGTCCACCGGTTTTGTATATAACCGTATATAGCTTGCAGCTAGATAACAGTATGCTATAGCTCTCTGCACAATCCGTGTTTCCTTAGGATTGTTGTGATGATCTCGGGTAAGTGTGATTCCGTGAGGGACGCCACGAACACGAGGTCGTGGGGCAATAATCCTGTCCAGAGCTGCTGCAGGGATAGGGATTGTGGTGCTCAAGATTTCCGAATCAATGCGACCAAACACTGGATTAAGTGAAGCGTCCAGTAGATTAAATGCTAATCTCATGAGACGGATGAGAGTGGATTTTCGTATTTCCCCATGTATCATATCTCCAAACACCTCTTCCCCCTCTCGCTCTATGGCATTGACAGATGCAAAATGTTGAAATTCATATCCCTCTTTGCCCCTGAAACATTTATCTTTCCAATCCGTGATATTGTTGTCCGGTGGCTTATAGAGTTTCATGACTATATTATGTGTTACAGGCTGAGGCTGTACAGGTGCGTTGAGGAACTGGGCTATGCTTCTCTTTTGCTCATCTGAAAGGTTGTACGGAGCAAATACCTGTTGAGCTTCGGCTTCTGCTGCCGCTAGAAGTTGGTCAAATCTGTCCGAGATAGCTTTATCCGCCATGGTTGAATGAGGTACGAGTCTGTTAGTATTCGATAGTGGGAACTCAAAAGGCGGGCTTCTGCTCG